ATTGACAACATTGTTTTTATCTCCCTCTCAATTACATCAATCTTCATCTTCAAATTCAATCTACAGAAAAATTCATTTGCAGAAGAGACGACAATTTCTTGGTGGTGGAGACTAATTTGGAGAGATCAGAAGCCAGTAAAGTGAGAATGTCTAGAATGTCACGGATATACCACTTTTTTTGCCAACACATGCACCCTTAAATCTTGATTGAATAATGATGATTGTGCCATATTGCTCATTGTTGGTTGGCACTTGTCTGGCATTACTCAAAACGCATCTTAATTTGCAGTTGGATCAAAGCTTTAGGAGAATAAAGTCTCTACATTTGGGTTAAAGCTTCAAGAAGCACGCTTCATCTCTTTCGAATTTTGATGTCGATGAGCATGCGTAGAAATTGTATGTTGCTAGCTGACTTGCTATGCTGTGAAGATAGGTTTCTTCAGATGCTAGAAGTGGTGAAATTGCTTTTTGGTTGAATTTCCAATAATCATTCAAGCTACTTCTTTCTTTGTAAACTTTCTTGCTGAGTATTAATTGTTGGATTTTGGGTGGTAAGAAGGAGAGAGAAGGGGGGATTGAGAGAGGACTTGTTGGAGGAGAAGGAGAGGCACCCGGAGTTCCTTCTTTTGGTGAGGCTAGAACCCATTTCTTCCATTGATATTCTAATATTTATAGCAGAAACAACATAACATAACATAGAACATAAAGCCATAAACATGGAAGGGTGCAGACATTCACCCAACCGGAGAGGAGAAACCATGCTTTCTCTTTCTCTCAATTTTCATTCAATTTCTTCCTCCTTTTTATAGAGGAAGGCTACACATAAAACAATAATATTTTTTTTACTTGATATGATAATTATTAAGTACCTAAACCATTGACTAAAATGATGAAGTTTTCTGTCATCTCTTGTTGCCCGTGTGAAGCTCCATGCTGCTGTCAGCTACTGCACAATCATGCTGCAACATCATTTAGCATATTTCATTTGATTTTCAGCTTTCATGTCATAGCTCCAACATTAATGTTAATTGGGAGTAGTCTAATTTTTTTAATGTCTTGTTTCAGATCAATGAGATGTTGTTATATTGGTTTAGATCTTACTTGATAGTTGCCTATAGGATAGAATTACTTGTATCTTAGACTACCATAATAGCTCTCAAATCATTCTATTAATAATAAAGACAAAAATGACCAAAACAAAACGATCCCTTACTTTCAGAAATGATAAGAAATAAAACTACCTATCTCACAACAAAATATAAAAGAGATAGCTTGACAAACTAGCTTTTTGTCTTTTATAACATTAACCCAGAATAGTTTTCCTCATCTAAAGGTTTCGGGTCAACAGCATCAAAGCATATATAAGGTTAGGAGCTAAGTTTTTTTCCTTTTTTTTCGGAAAGTAAAGGCACTTTATCACGTAAGTATAGGGGTTAGGAGGTAACTTGAAGCTGTATACGCAACAGCAATACAAAATTAATCTCCACCTTTATTATATATATATCCAACTCTCAAATTCTTCCATTTAGTACAATAAAAATTCTCATCATATCTACAAACTTAAGCCCTCTATTGTTCACCACAATATCCTGAAATGTTTTCACATCAAATTATTAGGATAAAGCAAACAAATAAGTTAATGAAAGTCAAATTGAAAATGAAAAGAATTACCTTTTGACATACCATTCCAGCCACTTAATCCTATCCCAGCAACATTTGACATAAGGTTTCAAGAAGCCTTGGGACTGGGATAAACTTTGGATAGCATTTGCTGAGGAGAGGAAAGAAAGAAACTCGAAATATTCTTCCAGTCTAGGAGAACCAATTGTCCTTTCTTCCAAATACCACTTGTCTCATGATCGGTTACCTGCCTTGCCATTTGAGATGGAGAGAGCAGAATAAAGGTTATTTGGATTTTGCTCCAGATGAGATGAGGAAAAATCTTTCAACCCCAAAAACAATAAAGAATTTAAGACTAACAAATTTTTTGTACGTTTTGGAAGTCGTTAAATCTATTCCGTCAATAATGTTAACGACGCTAATCATCCTGTTAAATACATTCTCCGTCACCTTTTGATGGGCTGATGCGGTGCATTTTTACTTGGGAAATGCTTTTTATATAATCTTTTTTACCTTATTTTTTTTTATGTAACTTGACGTATTATTAAAATAATTAATTTTTTTAATTTATGTAAAATTTATAATATTAAATATATTTATTTATTTAATAATAGATAAAAATTATATAAAAAATAAAATAAAATAATTATTTTTATAACACCACCCCTTTAATTGATGCGGGACAACACTGACGTTGTATACCGAGGATATAGTAGCCCCTTTTCTAGTAATGGCATTTGGTCGAGAAGGGTAACAATAGGTGGGATAAAAATTTAACATTAATTACGTAATATAATATATATTATTAAATTAATTAATATATATTATTGTAAATATAAAATAAAAAATTAATTATTAAATAATATAAAATTTATTTTTTAATATTTTATATAATATTATTAATTTTAAACTTTAGTCTTATTAGTCTTATGAGGAATGCTAAGGGCAATCGCCCTTCGTCACTCGCTCTAGCACCCTCCACGTTATGCTGCCACGTAGTCACCGAATTTGATATCTGAACTGGGGAACCGACTACAGTCGGTTCTTTATTTTATTTCTCCTTTTTATTTCCTCATTTCTCTCTCCTACCTTCTCTCTCTTTCCAAGTCTTTCTTCTCCAGTTCTCCATCCATCTTCATAACAGTCAAAATCAAATTTTTTTTACAAAGTGGCAATCAAAGACTCAAATGTAGGAATCCACCAGATGAAATCCTCACTCTTCAGATTTATTTCATTTTGTTGCTATGTTTTGATGTTCAAAAAGAAAAAGTACCAAAATCAAATATCCTCCTCCGTTCATCTTCATCGGTTCTATCTTTCAGCTTTTCTTCTA